ATTTCCTTTTCTCCAACTAAACACACCCTAACTGGTTCGTTGTAGCTCAGGATCTTTTTGCGTTACGAGTATAGCCAACTATTAGCTCCAATTCATCTATAATCAATCTAATAGCTCATTTATATAATAGACTATTAATATATGGTCCCACATCTCATACACACATAACGTATTGGAGTTCGTGCTGCAGCTGGTTATAAATCTGTAATCCGCTTTCCTTTTCTCTCTTCTCTTCTCCACATGTGCTTACAGTTGACTTATATAGTTTGCTATTGTACTCGCTCTGAAGACTTGACACATAGGTACTAACCCTGGTTATGGCCGTTTTTACTACTAGGTCAACAGGTAGATGCATGGTTCCACCGCCACGATATTTCTGATATTTTACATGCAGAAAGGAAACTCGACGGTAACAGAATCGACGACCAAGTGGACAGTTGGAGTACTAGGTGAAGTGGTTAACTCTGCAAAGAGTGGATCCGAAGAAAGGAACCTTCAGGCACAAACCACTTTCCTACTTGGATTTTCACTTTGGCAAAAGTAAATCCAGCCTTAAACCCATAAATCACAAAAGACCTGCAGCGTCCTTTCAACAGTCACTTCTAGAAATTTGTCGGCCATTTGCCAATGCAAGGAGGCTGAAAAAGAGTGCTCTCTTTCATAAAAAAAACTAATATAGTATTAAATATAACGTATTCTAATAATATAAATATGAACATACATATGTTAGATTCGTAGTACTACATCACAATATATCATATACAGTCATCACAATATATCATATACAGTCACAAAGTAGTACAGAAGAATTTAGTTACGAGTCGAGTAAACGTGACTCGACTGCTACCCCCTATAATATCCCGAGCTCTGACATAGTTTTAATCGCCCAACGCCCCAACGGTATTTTCTACAGCTTCTTGGTCTCAATCAACGAGGAGTTTGTTAGCTTGTGCACTGTGTAAAGTGTGTACGGAGTAGTGCATGCTGCACAAGTGCACATGACAGAATATATAATTTCTGGCTCTTCCAGAGATGAGATCAAATATGTACTTTCCAACGCGATGCAGCCAAACGTGTCCAAGCAATCCAGAATGCAGACATGGAAGTTAATTCAGTGAATTCAATTCACTGCCCTAGCGGCCTAGCCCCAGAATGGTACTATAACCACCATGATTCCATGAATCACAATACCAAACCTTAAAATAAAAACGAGGACATATCCCTCTCATGGCCCGAGCCTGGAGTTAATGTCAAAGCTCGCATGTTGGCGAGCAGAAATGGTCCCTGTTTAGCCAACTTTTTATGCTGTGTGCCTGCATCCACGCCATGATTAATGGAGTAGTTTGGGGAGAGAGAGATAGCACGAGAGACAGTACAACTGCGTTTAGTTTTTGAAATTGGAAAAAAGTTTGGGGAAAGTTAGTAGTTTGGAAAACAAGTTGAGAGTTGTGTGTAGGAATATTTTGAATGTGATGTGATGTGATGGAAAGTTGGAAGTTTGGGGGAAGTTTGGTGTGAACTAAACAGGGCCTAGTTGTATGACTCATTTGTCACCTGGTTATGGCCGAGTTTAGTTCCAAATTTTTTCTTCAAACTTTCAACTTTTCCATCACATCAAAACTTCTCTACACACATAAACTTTCAACTTTTCCATCGCATCGTTCCAATTTCAACTAAATTTTCAATTTTGGCGTGAACTAAATACACCCTATAATAATTCAATAGCTACTCCCTCCGTCCCAAAAAAAGGCAAACCGTGGGTTCCCGTGCCAACGTTTGACTGTCCGTCTTATATGAAATTTTTTTTATAATTAGTATTTCCGTTGTTGTTAGATAATAAAACATGATTAATACTTTATGCGTAACTTATTTTTTTATTTTTTTTATAATTTTTTTAAATAAGATGAACAGTCAAACGTTAGACACGGAAATCAAGGTTTGTCTTTTTTTTTTGACGGAGGGAGTAATTGTTTGGTACAGTACTAGCAGGAAGCAATGGGCGACATTACTTTCAGTGCTATTCGTTTTCTTTTATGCCATTTGCTTTGTCATGGAGTTGGTCTTGAGGGAGATCTTAAGGAGTAGGGACAAGGACCATTTTTCTGGTTGTTTGTTGGCTGAGTAGAAGCTGGGTAGCTCAGCATGTGGGCTCTCTGTCCCTTTTACCTGACTTGGGGGCGGTGTGCTCAGATCCAAGGGAATCATGTATCCATGTGGCATTGTGGCCTCGACTCCTCGTGGTGTTCCCCTTCCTCCAGGGCAAGCTTTGTCTTTACTCTTCACCTTTCTCTTGCGTACCCCCACTCCTGGAATGTGGAATTTTGTAACTTTCCACAAGTAAAAATGTACTCACGTTCAGTTAACAATGTTTTTACTTGCTCCGTTTCACGATTTTTGTCGTCTTATATATATATTTAGAATTCATATAAGAAAACGATAGTGATAGTTTTTGTCATGATAAACACTTTATATAATTATATTTCTAATAGTTCTTTTATAAACATATAGTTAGAAAATACAATAATAAAATATGTGCAGAGACTGTATCAATGACTCGATGTCCAAAATGATCAATGTAAAGCAGAATTTATGATAATTAAGGTATTATTACAGTTTATAGTGTTTTTCGCTTGTTTCGGTTAGCCTTCAACTTATAAGCATAAGTACAAGTTTAGATTTTAAAATTTAAATTTTGATTTATGCTTTTTTTTCTTGCAGTTTTGTTAGTGTCAACAATAAGGCATACTTCTTATACACTGGTTCGTTAAATACAGCAATACCATATACCCGATAGTATACAAGAATGTATCTTTTAATTAAGGAAATATGGTAGATAAAAAAAAGAAAATTATCTTCTCGTAATAGATGGTGTCAGAGTCCTACTTGGGAGTGATAAGGTCTCCTTAAGCCCATGTCATGTTTCATTTCTCCGAGTCTTATTTGGAGAAGAACGTGATCTCTATTACATATAAATGACCTCACCCGTCCAGAAAGGGACATCGAGTTACAACTCATAGCCAAAGCCACATATAGAAGCAATCCGCTATATTCACCAGATAGATTTTGTCGAGCCGTTCTCAACAAGTTCTAGTTGGCATATTAGTTTAGTCGTCCTATTCCCTATTGTAATCTGTGTGGTATTACTATCCATATATACATACATACATACAAATAGGAGTAGAGTTATTACTTAACTTGAAGGCTCGAACCAATATAAATCCTTGTCCATTGTTCCTTAGATCCGATCTCGCATATACCCTAGTTCTAACGATCTCCATACTCTACAAATAGCGTTTACAGGTATAGCCCGTCGACATTTTCTTTGAATATTTATTTATAAATCGCCATAACACGTATATAAAAGTTTACTCATAAACTATATTTGAATCGTCAACAAACTGTTTTGCTTATAATAAGTACAAACAAAATGATAAGCTATCCTATCTTAGTGTGAAGACACCAAAGGATACTATAATAAGAAAATCTCATCAATGTAACTTAAGTGTACGAGCAGTTAAGCGCTACAAATGTTTTCTGTAGTATTGGAGTGTTAAGTGGGCTGACTTGCATTCCACCTAATCGTCCCATCTTTTCGCTCATGCTTATGCTTACGGAAATACTATACAACGGCATCTCATTTCTATCTCTTGGAATGGGATGCAATCAGCTCCACCACATCTGAGCGAGGCGACTAATTCGGAGGCTGCACGCGGCCATGGCAGCGCTTGGGATGGAGATGTTGACGGGGAGCCGGTGGACGTGTGCTGCAGCGGCGGCCGAGATGGAGTTGTCGCCTGAGTGATCGGATGCCAAGTCGGAGCCGACGGACGTGGGCTGCGGCAGGGATGGAGCTGTTGCCGGAGTGGTCGAACATGGAGTTGGAGCCGGTGAGCGTGGGCTACTACGATGGCCGGGATGGAACTCTCGCCGGAGTGGATAAACGTGGAGCGAGGATGACGAAGCCGTCGGCGACAAGCTCCGGCGTGGCATGGACAATGGAGGACCTGCTCACGATAGCCACCGGCGACGAGCTTTGTTGTGGCGCGTGGACAGTGGAGGACCTGCTCAATGTGAAAGACGTGGCCGCTAGCGACGAGCTTCGACATGAGGCATGGACGTTGGAGGACGCGTCCACCGACGAAGACCTCTAGCGTGGGGCGTGGACGACGGAGGACACGGCCGCCGGCGACAAGCTCCAGCATGAGACGTGGAGGGTGGGGCCACCGGAGATGACGTCTCGGTGCTCGGTCCCTAATACCTAGTAAGAATCACCTGATATTTGGTAGGTATTATCTGATACCTCGTATGTATCACCCGATACGTAGTAGAAATCGTCTGATACCTAATAAGTATCATATGATACATCGCGAGTATCACTTAATACGTGGTAGGAATCGCATGATACCTAATAGGTATTGCCTAATACGGTTAGGTTTCAGGACATGATACCTCAAGGGTATCAGGACCTGATACCTAACCGGTATCATCCTGTTTGAACGGGATTCCGTTGTATAGAGCCCCCTTATGCTTATCAGCAAAAATTTAAATTTTCAACTTTAAATTTGGAGTTGATTTTAGGGTTTTTTTCATCGAAGTTTATTTTTCAGTCTTTGACTTTAGATTACTAAGAACACATATATAAAAGTTTTATTTATAAATTATTTTTTGTTTGTAAATATGCCGTTAGGACCTAAATGGCCTCGCACACCCCTAAAGGGTCTAATGCGCTGCACAGGTTGCCAACTTGCAATCACAATGAGCCTAACCATTTCTAGTGTTACTTACTCCATTTCAGTAAGGTAATCAACCAAGCAGGCCTACATGCCCCATTTTCAATCTCTTTCGATACCATACTCAGATTTGGAATTCTGGACTGTCGGTTACTCGGTTTCGTGCTAATGGCAAGTTCACCAAGGACAACATCACAATTGTAACTTCCTAAAAGGTCCTAGAAGCAAAAGAATCCCTCTACCATCACAGGTTAACTACCAAGCCCGAGCTACTCAAACACTTTCACAGGCAGTGGCAGTGGAACTGCTGCTCAGCTCCTCCTACTACTCCACCACTGACCACTCCACTCCACAGCTCCACTCCACCTTCTAGAACAATCCAGAGGCTCTCCCACTCCGCATAGTCTTCCCATAGCAACCCCAAGACCATCGCACAAGCGCAACCGAGCCGCGCCGGCAACAATGGCGGTGGGCAACGGCCTGATCCTGTACCACATCCTCGGGCTGGCCTCCTGCATCGCGCTGGTCTACTTCTCCCTCGGCGAGGTGGACCTCCGCGACGCCCTGCCATCCCTCCCGTTCTCGGGCGGCGCCTCGCGCGCGGCGGCGGCGTCCCTGCCCTTCGTGGAGCGGCGCGGCAAGCGCCTCTTCCTGGACGGCCGGCCCTTCTACATCAACGGGTGGAACTCGTACTGGCTCATGGACCTCGCCGTGGAGCCGAACACCCGCCCCCGCGTGTCCAGCATGTTCCGCACCGCCGTCTCCATGGGCCTCACCGTGTGCCGCACCTGGGCCTTCAACGACGGCTCCTACAACGCCCTCCAGCTCTCCCCCGGCCACTTCGACGAGCGCGTCTTCAAGGTAACCAAAACCAAACCCATCCATTCCCAAATTCCCCAGCAGTAAGAACGCGAGATGCCCACTGGTGCGGATGCTGATGCGCGCGCGCGTGCAGGCGCTGGACCGGGTGGTGGCGGAGGCGTCGGAGCACGGCGTGCGGCTGATCCTGAGCCTGGCGAACAACCTGGACGCGTACGGCGGGAAGCGGCAGTACGTGCGGTGGGCGTGGGAGGAGGGCGTCGGCCTCACCGCCTCCAACGATTCCTTCTTCTTCGACCCCGCCATCCGCGACTACTTCAAAGTCTACCTCAAGGTTAGTTAGTTAAAAGTTAATCGCATCGAGCCCGGAGCTTAGCTTTCCGCCCTACTATTTGCTAATCAAGCCGCCATGGATTGATTAAGGGGAGATAGCTAGTGCCATAGAGTGTCGGTGGCTTTAGTACAGTGATTAATTAATTAATCTAGTTGCTTTTTACTGTGCGCGCAGACGTTGCTGATGAGGAAGAATCACTTGACGGGGTTGGAGTACAGGGACGACCCTACCATCCTCGCGTGGGAGCTCATGAACGAGCCCAGATGCACCTCCGATCCATCTGGTGACACTCTGCAGGTGAGTCACTGTCATATGGGCGACATGTGCCATTGTCAAATTACCTTAACCGCGACTTCAATTCTTGATGTGAATCTGGCAATAATTTGGTTGATCGGTGTTTGGTGTCTTTGGGTGTGCAGCGTTGGATGGAGGAGATGTCTGCGTACGTGAAATCGATCGACAAGAAGCACCTCCTCACCGTCGGCACCGAGGGGTTCTACGGCCCGACGAGTTCTCAAGAAAAGCTGAACATCAATCCGGGAGAATGGTTCCCCAACAACTACGGCGCGGATTTCATCCGCAACTCCAAAATACAAGACATCGACTTTGCTTCCGTCCATGTTTACCCAGACAATTGGTAACCAACCAACCAACCAACCAACTAGAGTATCCACAAATGGAGAAGCTAACCAATAGCCAGAAATGGGGGAAACATTGAAGCTTAATTTGGATGATGAACTGATCGCAGGTTGCAGCACGCCAGTCTGGACGAGAAGCTCAAGTTCATGACGCGGTGGATCACCGCCCACGTGGAGGACGGCGACGGGGAGCTGGAGAAGCCCGTGCTGGTGACGGAGTTCGGGCTGTCGCACCAGGTGGAGGGCTTCGAAGACGCGCACCGGGACGTCCTGTACAGGGCGGTGTACGACATCGTCCACGGCTCGGCCAGGCGGGGCGGCGCCGCCGGCGGCGCACTCGTGTGGCAGCTCGCCGCCGAGGGCATGGAGGAGTACCACGACGGCTTCTCCATCGTACCCAGCGAGAGGCCGTCCATGATGCGGCTGATCAAGGAGCAGTCGTGCCGGCTCGCCGCGGTGAGGTACGGCGAGGAGGGGGCCAGGAAGGTCCTCAAGACGGTGTGCGCCTGATCGTTCTGATCGTTTCTTTTTTTTAAAAAAAAAAATCACGTCCTAGCTTCTTGTCCTCTTGAAGAAAAGAAGAAGAAAAATCCAGCGACGAAATGCGCAGGAGAAAATCAGTGCGAAATCGCACGAAATAGAGTGTAATCAATGTGCGTGCACATCTGCGTGGCAAGGTTCTGCGCAGATCGGCGCCGACGTCTGCAGATCCGCCGACACGGCCCAGTGGTTTTTTTTTTTTTTTTTTTTTTTTTTTTTTTTTTTTTTTTTGCCTTCTGTCTTTTGTGTGTGTTGTACGTGCCCTTGACCTTTGATATGTTAAATCATTGTCGAGTGGCAGGGGAATCCAGTTATATATAGTCATCGGACAGTGTATTTCTGCGCGGGAGGTTTTTATATAGCTGCCTGTAAGCATAATAAAAAGAGGCAAATACAACACTTAAATGTGATCAGGTAAAGCATTACTAAATCGATTGATATTGAGATGATTTTAATTGCGTCGCCCTGGTCCAAACTTTCAAAGACGGATGTCAGATTTTGCAATATGACTAGGCATCTAGGGTCACCTGAACAGAACAGATACATCTACAGGATTCAACTTCGATCCGACGGACGGCTCGAGATGATTTGCATTTTTTCATGGGTTGTTTAGCATCAGCGGTTGCAATTCGGCCTCCGACGAACGGAAGGACGAGCCCCGCGGCCTGCAGTGCCCCTTGGCCCATTAGAGCGTCCGAACGCAGGCGAAGGGATTCGGTTTTGGATAAAGTTCATTTTTAGTCCCTTGTGTTGTCATCGAGTTTCAAAAACATCTCCACGACACCGGATACAACGCATCCCCTAACTTACAAAACAAGTGAACACGAGGTCCTAGGGTGGTTTCGATGATGATTTTGGCTGATGTGGTACCCACGTGATTCGTTTGACTAGATCTTTATCCTATGTGGTGTTAACATGGCGCTTACGTGACAATTTGGTCTGGAAAAATAATAAAACTATAGGGCCCACGTGTCAGTTACACCACATAACAATAAAAAAAATGGTGGGACCCATGTGGGCCCCACGTGTCATCCTCACACCTGCCATTTTTTTTCTCTTTCCTCTCTCTCCTCTGTTGTTGGTCTTCCTCCTCTTTCCCCCTCTCCAATCTCTTCCCCATCGCCCCCTCTCTTGCTCCTCCACACTCCTGACGTGTATGTATGGTGGAGGCGAGCTTCTCTCCACCCCCGATGGCAAGGTCGACACTCGCTGCCACCATCGCTCACATAGGAACGACACAAGTGGTGTGTCAAAATCATGGCACGGCATGGGGACGCGTGGGAGGATGGGGAGGAAGTAGTCCTTGCCGTTCCACCTCTTCCTCATTGGACAGAGGTCAACGGGACCGTCAGGACCACCGGGCTAGGACGATGGTGTACACGGTCCACCTCAACGTCATCGTCGGCGAGATGACCCAACAGCAGCCACCGAGGGTGTGGCATGTGTGGCAACTTTCCAGCGGAGCATGTGGAGGATGTCCTGGAGGGGAGATGGTCAGCCTCAATCACCTTCGTCGCTGACGAACGGCGGTGGCCGGCCAGTCGCAAGATTTGGGCGTCGGCAGTAACAACCATGCTGAAAGTGCATTAATCCTCCTAGTGGGTTTTGGTGATTAATGACAAATGTGGTTAAGGGACTAATGAGCTCATTGAGTAGCTTTCAGGTGCATTAGTCCAAGGTGTGGAAGATGGATGCTTGGAGACCCCCCAAAAAGTACAAAATCAAAGCGGACCGGAACTCAAGAAGTGCATAGGATAGTTTATCTTCTGAAATCGAGTTTTTAGGAAAAACCGTACTATTAAGAGGGGTTCCAGGTGATGCTCTGAGATATATCAAGTGCTCTTAGTGTGAACCAAGTGTCAAGTTTCCCTAGGAGTTCTTTTTTTTTTTGCAAATACTCCATCTGTCCAAAAATGCAAGTCTGGAACTTCCTGTCTTCCAGGTCCGGAAGTTCCGGTCTTGTGAAAAAGATTTTCCTAAGTGTAGTCCGGAATTCCGGTCTTCTAGGTCCGGAACTTCCTGTCTTGTTTCCAGTTCAAATTTGTGAGTAACGGCTAGATGACATTACCTAGCCATTATACATGTACAGCTCGTTTCCAGCTCGTTCCTTGGCCATTCCACTTTCACTTTTCAAACCTAGAGCTATTGCTAGCCTCTCCCAAGTGTTTCTTGCCTTCTCCACTCAATCTAGAGCCTAATTCTTGTGAGAAAGAGAGATTGAGAGGGAGAGAAGAAGATTTGGAGATGTGTGAAGACTAGGATCTTGGGTGAGCACTTGGAATATCTCATGGGCTGTCATCTCGGTGCTTATTACTCTTGGAGATGATCTCCTAGACGGTTAGGTGTCGCTCGCGAGAATCCGTTGCATATTGTGGATGTCCCGGGTAAGTTTGTGAAGGATTTCCTCTCCTCCGAAAGGGAATGAGGTAAGTTAGTGAAGTTCTTGTGCTGAGATTCTAGAGGCTTTCCAAGTAGAGCAACCCACACTTGTGGTGGATTTCTAGAAGTAGGTTGAGTTGTGTCACACCCAGAAATTCTCGAACCAGAATTTCTAAGCTGAATGTGCATTAAATCCCTGTCCAGGACCAGCCAGGGTACACAAACGACAATTGTTGACATACAGACCCACGTCTTACAAAAATATAAAAGATTACAAATGCAGCGGGAAAGATTAAAGCGAGCTAAACCGGGAAGCTTGACTTCAGCAGCGGGCGACTCCACTCCACAGGCAAACCTTGACGGCAGCAACGAAACCAACCTCTCTGAGACGGCTCCAACTGAGAAGAACTTCAACTCTGGTGTGGGGGAAAAGAGAGCAAGACTGAGTACTACCCACTGTACTCAGCAAGTCATACCGGAAGATGAGGTATGATGCAGGATATAACCAAAGGAAGCTAGGGGTTCTTTTGCATAAAGCAGGCATTTCAAAGCAGTAGTTGAAAGCAGTAAAACAGCTGTAGTAATTAATCAATATTAACCAATCACTGTCCAACGCTACACCACGTTGCAACAGGCCCAACCAACCACTTGAACTACACCAGTTCATTAAGCTAAACTAGGGGTGAGACTAATCACGGTGAATCTGGTTGATCGCCCATAACCGCGGGCACAGCTATTCGAATAGTTTTACTCTGGCCAGAGGTGTACAACTGTACCCACAAGACACGATTCTACACATGTCGCCATGCCCCGAAGTATCACCATGATACTGCAAAGGGGGAAATCGTGACAAGACCCTCCACATAACCCTCCCCTAACCATCCACACCACGCTAAGGTTTCACCCCCACCCCTCAAAAGGCAGTGGGCGGTCCCCTCTTGCGCCGCGGTGAATCCGGCAGCTGGACAACCGAACACCTCGGCCGACCCAACTCCATCACGCCCACCCTCGCCACCGGTGCCTAGGAAAGGGTCGAGCTATACTTCAGATCAAGCAGTTACCCACTCCCGCTTGTGGTAAGCACGGTAAGTCTCCCAGGGTTTCCCGTGAACCGGTCCTTAACTGCCATGGGTGCGACCAGCAAAACCATGCACTCACAACCCGCCATTCAGAATATTTTAATTAACTGACACCCTTGCGGTGGCACCAATCCAAAGCTATGCCAATAGTCAGAGTCTATGTAATAATGTGATCCCCATTTGTGTACTAGTTGAACTAAGCATGGCTAAGCATTTCCTAAGCCAACATCTAGTCATTTTGATACCCAAGTTATCAATGGCATAAGGTAACCAATATGTGGCTGAGGAATAGGACCCATCCCACATTACATTGTAAAAGAATGTAACATTTAATAGAAATGCGGGATATTTGTAAATTGGGTACAATATGATCAAACGTATTGCATGACTTGCCTTGCTCTCGAACTGATGAGACCTCAGCAACGTCTTCGAGAAACCGCGGATCGACGAAACGGCCAAAACCTACGCGACAAACAAAGCACACAAGCAAAACATGCTATAAGACTATAGAAACAGGAAACAAAACCATTTTTAATGGATTCTTTGCATTTTTCTTGATTTACTGAGACTTGAATGGACTTAAACGGAGCTCGGATGAATTACTTAAGAATTTTAGAAGATAAACTGTGTTTTTACTAATAAAGAAAAAGCCTTAATCATTTTATTGCGCAATAAAGCCCAGGGCTGACGTCAGCGAAAGGGGGGCGCCGGCACGTGGGCCCCACGGGTCAGCGGCTCCAAAGGGAGGGAGGTGGCGCCTGGCAGGTGGGCCCCACCAGGCGGTGGCTCAAAGGGGAGGCGAGGGAGGCGCCGGCCGGGCTCGGCTCTGCCTCAAGGCCGACCGGCCGACCAAGGCGAGGCGGCGGCGAGGCACGGCCACCGACGGCGGTGACCGGCGGTGCGGGAAGCGGCGGCGACGGCCGAAAGGCGGTGGCGCATGGCCGGAGCAGCGGCGTGGCTGGCGCTCGCGGGAAGGTGAGGAAATGAGGGGGAGGGAGGACTCACCGGCGACACGGCGGCCGGAGCGGAAGACGAAGGCGGCGACGACGACCCGACGAGAGGAGGGGCGGACGAGCGGCGGCGACACCTAGAGGAGGGGAGGAGAGGAGTTAGGGATGGAGAAGGCGACCGCGACAACTAAAGTGGCTGGCCGGAGACGGAGGGGAATGGATAGCTCACCGGCTCGCGAGGGAGATGGGGTTCCGGTGGGGTTCCGGCGACACGAGGAGGTGGCCGAGATGGCCCACACGGCGGCGGAGCTAGCGGCGGCGGCGGCTTGGCGCGGCGGCGGCCCTAGTGGCGACGGCACGCGGCCGGAGATGGGCGGCGGCGGCGGAGCTCGGCGAGCGCGGCGCGACGGCGGTAGAGGGCATGGGAGAGGACGGTGAATGGGGGAAATGAGAGAGAGAGCTGGAGTGAGGGTTTTTATGGCGAGGGAGGGGCGGAAACGGCCGGGGATGGCCCCTATTTGGCCGGCGACGTGGAGAGGTGGAGGAGAGAGAGAGGGTGTTGGGGGATTTCAAATCCCCCACCACTTGCGGGCGCGCGCGCGCGGGAGATGCGGGGGAGAGGGCGGCGACGTGGGCGCGAGGTGCGGGCGCGGAGTGGAGGCGCGACGTGGAGCGGAGAAGGCGGCGGCGCGGGCGGTTGGAGCTCCGGCTCCAACGACCGGAGGTAGGGGACGACCGACAGGTGGGCCCCACCTGTCGGTGCCCGAAAGAGAAAGGGAGGGAGGGAGGACTTCGGGGAGGGGAAAGGAGGAGCGGGCCGGCCCAGGAAAGGGGTGCCGAGCACGGGGAGAGAGATGGGCCGACGGCCCATCTAGAGAAAAAGGAAGGAAAAGAAAAGAAAAAGAGGAGAAGGATTTTCCTGGGATTAAATATTGCACTTTGGTGATTTTTAATTGGTTAAAATTATTTCCAAGGCTCTGAAAATTCCACTAAAATCTTGTTAATGCATTGGAGCATGGGGA